AAGATGAACGGAAAGACGAATACCTCACTATCACGCGTGACCTGGCGCCCTATTTCAAAATGATATTTTGACCCCGGGGGGTGTCTTGCTCGCCACCCCACGTAAACAACGCGTGGGCCAGTCCCACTTGTAACATCACGGTGAGTAGCCTTTTTGTTCAATATGGCGTCTGTTTAAAAATTTAATCTTAATTAATATACTTAATACTTCAGTCTTTTTTCCACCGAATAATAAAAATAGGAAGGAAGGCGAAGTCGCCGAAACGTCAGCCATTGATCAATAACATCGAAAACAACGACAACGACAACGAAGATCTGTACCAACCTCGCGTCAGCTTAAGATCAGTTTATAAGATCACATAAATAAATATATCAACTATCTATGCCGGGGTTTATAGAAAGTCGGTCTTTCGAGTTATCTTCGACTGTTTGAAGTACAGAACGGCATCTTTGATTTTTGATAGTTGACGCAGATCGAAGCTTCGGATCCCATCCCTTACTTTTGTGGAACAGGATACTCCTAGCATCGTCCTTTCGACTGCGCGTTCGATAACGCTGAGTGATCTTTCATCCTGCTTGCGCAGCGACCAGGTTTCTGACATATGCGTTAGGGCGGGAAGTACCGCTGAGTCGACAAAGGTGGGCACGGAGTCGAGTGTTCTTTGTTCTCTTCACTACATCCTCGATGCTTTTGAAAGCTGACCAAGCCGCTCGTTTCCTTCTGCTCAGCTCTGGAGTTAGGTCGTTCATCATATTGATTTCCCGACCTAGATAGACATAATTGGAGCGTTCGGAGATAATCGTTCCGTTGAGCATGAATGGGGCATGGGAAACCAATCCGTTCTTCATGAACATCGTTTTTGTGAGATTTAGTCGAAAACCATTCTTTCCACAAACCTTATCAAAGTCGTCATGCATACGTTCCGCTTGGCTAATGTTTGGTGTTACAAGGAGGATGTCATCACCAAAGCGAAGATGGTGTAACTGCCGACCATCGATTTTCACTCTCATATTAACCCATTCCAATGTTCGCACGACGTTCTGGAGTGTGGCGGTAAATAATTTTGGCGAGATAGTATCGCCTTGCCTAACTCCTCTTTTAACGTCAATGTTAATATCATTGTAGAATGGTGATACCTTGGTTGTGAAATTTTTGTACAGCTCACGAAGAATCTTTATGTACTGAGTAGGGACTCCTCTAGTACCAAGGTCTTCCAAGACTGCTTCCATCTGAACTTAATCAAAGATCTTCTGTAAATCGATGAAAGCGAGACAGAGCAGTCTTTTATATCTCGCGATACTTCAGTGAGCCTTGTTACCGTGTGGATGTGGTCCATCGTACTAAATCCTTTTCGAAGCCCTGCTTGCTCACATGGCTGTCCTTCGTCTAGTGTTCTTACAATCCTGTTTAGGATGACTCGAGTGAAAGTTTGTAGACGACAGACAGTAAGCAGATTGGACGATAGTTACCGATATCATGTAGGTCACCCTTCTTGAACAATAACACGGTCTTGCTGGTCTTCAACTGTGTAAGGACCTTGCATTCAGACAGGTAACGTGTGAAGAGTCGAGCCAGTGTGTTTACGAGGACTGACGGAAGGCTCTTCAGGTGTTCTAATCTTATCCTTTCCGGATCTGGTGCTGTTGGTTTTTTCATCGACGAGATGGCATGCGGGATTTCGGAAAGGAAAACCGGTGGTACAACATATCCATCCTCCTTTATTTCATATGACGGAAGGTGGACGTGGCTATCGAAGAGATCCGAGTAGTATTCGTGAATGATTTTCTCTATTGCCTTTCTGGACGCTGTAACTGTTCCGTCTGGGCGCCGGAGAGCAATCATTTTGGTCTTGTAATTGGCGAAGCTTCGATGGGCTTTGCGAATGCTTTTCCCAGCCTGTGTAGCTTCGGCCATTACTGCTGCTTTTCTCTCTCTAAGATCTTCTTTGATCGCCTATCTACATTGTTTTGCAAGCATTGACGTTGATTCGCGGTTGCCTGCAGCTCGTGCGATTCCACGCTGACGTATCAGCTCGAGTGTTTCTGTAGACAAACGTCTCTTGGTGACTATCGAACTCTCCGCTTTTACAGCACTAACGTGAAGATGTTGAATGAGTCGATCGTGCTCTTCGTCGATATTATCGACGACGGCATCTTCTTAACAACCGTCTAATGAATTGAATAAGTCCCAGTTTGCGGTGGTTTTGGGACTTCGGTTTTGGAATTTAGCGGCTTTTTCACCTTTCCGCGAGAAATAGAATCTTGCACGAAGGAGACGATGGTCTGATCCCGTGTGGAATTTTGGGACAACAGCGACATCGATTAGGCAAAACCTTCTATTTACTGTGATGTGGTCAATTTCGTTATGGTACTCTCCATTGGGAGACTCCCACGTCCAGCGCTGAGGGTGGGGCTTCTGGAATTGCGAGTTGCCACGGATTGTCGTGTTCGCCATGATAAACTGAGTTACAGCCGCTCCATTCTAATCCGTGGGTCCCAATGTGACGTTCTTGAGACGTTCTTCTTGGTTCAATCTTGGTGTGGCGAATCTCCAGCGATGACCTTGAACGATGTGTGGTTTTGCTTGTAGAACTCCAAATCTAAATAGAACGCTTCGACTTCTTCTTCGTTCTGGTTTGATGTCGGCGTGTAAACGACGAAGATTTTCAAGGCTGGAATTGATCCATGTCTTTTTAGTCGTAAACGTTCGATTCGGGATTCGATTCGGAATTCGGTTGTAAGTTGTCCGAATGAATCGATGTTCATGGACAAACTCATGTTGACGGAAACGTCGACTCCCCGCCGACTCTACTGTCATCCGAGGAACCGTTCTTCTCCGGTGTCATAGACGGCGTTGAAAGGCTGGCATCATCTCGTTTCGGCCAGGCCGATGGCGTCGTACCTCTTTCTTCTTGCTTGCTTGAGCAAGTTTTTTATCGAGGACCAGCACGCATGTGTACGCGCATTGTTCACCATAGCTCTTTGAAATCCAGGCAGCTTCCATTGGCCCTGAGATTTCAGCAGCCTCTCCGTACTCGTCCTACCCAACGCTGCGAAATTGGGAGCTCTTTCGGGGTCAGGGAAATGAGGCCCGTTTTCTTTCTTTACTGTGTTTAACATTTTTGATAGCCACGTGTAGCTTGCTGGGCTCCGAACGTGGGGCTGGGAATACCCACGGGTAGCTTGCCAGGCTCTCCCAGAGTGGACGTCGAGCTTATTTGTTGGAGGTGACTCCTAACCGCCTCTCATATACTTCTCAGTCATTTGATTGCAAGGTTTTCGCCGAATTGACTCGTAGAATACAATCCGCACAGGCAATAACGAACCCACACATGCATGCATGAATACGCCTAGCAAATATAGAAAATATCTGCCAAATCAGCGCAGCAGAAACAGGGAGTCCATCCCCTGGGTTCATCTACGTCTCAGTAAAGCAAAGGTCAATTTTGGTCTGCAATTAACCCCTATCCACCACTTGGAGACGCGCCACGTAGCTTCGCGATTAACCGGCTCCAGATCCCTCACGTGAGGAAGATCTGAGGCTTTGTACATTAAACTCATATATTACTAATACTGAGTGTTTCGAGAATTTTTAGTATTTGACAACTTGTCCACGCGCATTGACAGATTTAACCCAACCGATCGCTCGATTTCGGTCTGATCGTGGCATGGAGGTACTCCTTCACCAAAGGCAGGTGTCCTTCCTCCAACACAACGGCCCGTACTAAGAATAACTTTAACATTTCTATCCAGGAGCCAGACTAAGAATAAATTTATGCTCGGTGGGTGGTCAGTGACAATAAAGGATATCGTAGAAAATGTTCTTAGTGCATTTACAGCAGACCTAGCCCACAGAGCAGCTCTTGTACGTGATGGAGAGAATGTGAATTATTGGAGCTCACTCGAGTTACTCGACAATTATTCTTATTATAGATAATCTAGGAATAATGTTCCTTTCTCGGCCAGGACAGTAGTCCAGATGTGAACCCCACTGTGGAGTTTTCTCCATAGTTTCCCTTGTTTTTGCCCCATTTCTTCATTCTTGAGTATTTAAACAACTACATCTTCAAGTGTAACACTTTGAAATTGTTATTCAACATTTTAGTTATTCTGAGAGCAAAACAGCTATAAAGACATCCATTAAAACTGGGTCTGTTTTAGCTCCCGATAAAAATGCTACCTTACGAGTCAGCGGTCTAGCTCTTTTCGATGAGAAAACTCATGATCAGATGATCTACGAGATCAAACTTACTTTGCTGGAGGATTGAAGGATATTCCTTGAGAAACGTGACTCGTAAGGTAAGAAACTAACGGCTGAGAGAAAGGAGAAATGAAGGACCCGTATAGTGCGGTGGTGAACATGCCAGCCTCCGGAAAGAATAATAGCGGGTTCGATTTCCACCACAGGCACCTGCGGACCCGGGTTTTGCAAATATCTCAGCATCATTTTTCCTTAGAACATTGGATACTTGGGTAGCTCGTCAAGTAGTTCTAGCGGCAACACATTTCCCACACGTTTCTTTGGTAAACAAAGAAGCATCATGTGTCGATCTTCAACTAACCACGGTATTAGTAACTAATGTTCTGAATTCTTACACATAAAAGACGGTATGCATAACTTCAAACCATACGTGTAATAAACAGTGCACTTGATGCATTGACTTCAATGCGTACTTTCAGGCTACCTATTCTTCCTGAGAGTTTATTTTCCATATCTTTAGAATGAGGATGTTCTTGGTGAGCTCCACTATATATTTTTGAAGTATTCTGGACATTAAACGTTATATGACGTTTATTTTGTCACAGTGAAAAAGTTTTATTGATGTCTAAATGAATTCTCGCTTCAAAATGTCGATGATGCCAATTTCTGAAGAGGAACCACCCAATTCAGCGCTTTGTCTTCTGTTGATTCTTCCTGTATTAAAAGAAAATAGGTCCTTTAATGCGACCTAAGAGAAAGGATACCAAAAACGTAGGAATACCTAGCTGATAGGAAGCATGTTATGATAGGCAGCGCAGCAGAGCAAGATAGACAGCAGCGACATACTGTTGAGGTTCTACAGTATTTCCTAACATGTCATCAGCTACAACATCACTAGCTACTACTTGTAGACTTTCACTGAGATGAGCAGTATATAAATCATTTAGGGAGGAGACAGTAACACCTTCATCTAGAAAGCCTTTTAGCACTTCCGTGATGTTGAATTGCTAAATTTCCCTTCTATGGGAAATCGAAATAGTGCAATTAATGACGGGCCTCCAGTTTACGGCCAATACAAATTTAAGCCTACATATAATCCAGAAATAATCTGATATGCCAGAAGTGATCTTACTACCGTTAAAGAAAGACAATTAAAGATTTCATTTTAAAAACGTGAAGGTCTTTGCCGCTGGGGTGAGTAGAACCTATTGCCCAGTTCTGGTTGGAGGAAAGAGAGAAGGCTTAAGAGGAACGCTCACTAGTCACTAGATCATTAACGGGATCGTAGGTGATACAAGTGGGACCTAATGTCAACATAGAAAACCTGCGCCTAGGCCAAAACCAGATTTCTCTCTACAAATATGACCATCTTAGGTTTCCAGAAAAAGTCGCAATCGGTCATCTTTCAATACGTCGATGAAGACACGAGATAACAGAGCTTCAATTTGCCAGAATGCAGATTTCAAGAACGATGAGGAGCGCTGTTGAGGAAATTCCAAGCAGGAAATGCCTATCTTGACGTGATTTGACAATAGTAGATAAGTGTTCAAAGGATTCCGCTCTTCATGATTTGGCGGTGGTTTGTATGTATGTATGTATGTATGCATGTGTGTATGTATGTATGTATGTATGTATGTATGTATGTATGTATGTATGTATGTATGTATGTATGTATGTATGTTTATTTCTATCTTTTTCTTTCTTTCTTTTCTATCTTTATCTTTTATTGAATGTTCTCACCTTGTCCATCCTTCCGGCCATATCGAAAACAAAGAACATGCTTTTATCCATATCAGCGAGATCTTCTATTATAATTTTAGAATAGCTTCTGAAAGCAGCAAGTCCCAGTACCGAATTTCTCTTAGAATTATTGCCAATACATGAATTCGTTCATTTCCAAAAATCTGGCTAAACACATCTTATGAGCTTGACACCTACAAAAGTCAGTAGAAAATAGCTCACTTGTAATCTAACACGGCTGGTTTTCGAAATTTCCGTTGAGTATAGTACATACGACCAGATGCCTCCGATTGGCTGGAACATGCTGACACTAGTCTTTTGCTTTAGTTTAGAAAAAATCAGAGAATAGACATAATTGTAAACCGAGTTTTATTCAACCTTCGTATAATTGATCAATGTACCTCGTTTCACTGATGAGCTAACATGAGGTTGTTACTAACATTTATTCGGCTAGCATTTTGACGTTTTTATGTTCCTCAGAGCCTAAGATCCGACTCGACGTCCACATGACTCTGAGGAAGACGAAAACGTCGAAACGTTAGCGGAATAAATATTGGTACACTGAATCCTTTCTATCAAAGCCTGGAACGCGAGTCTGTAATAATTCAAAAAACCGACTTTTTACAAACCTCGGCTTAAATAACTGCTCATGTTGTTTGTGTTGTATATGTTTATTCACATATTCTTATGAACCGGTCTTGTTAATCTGATGCGAGAATGATATAAGTTGTCGTCGCCGTTGCTGCTGCTGTTGCTGTCATTGTTGTTCATGTTTTTCGTCGATGGCTGATGTTTCGGGGATTTCGGCTACCTTAGAGCCTGGATGTGCTTTACGTAACAGTAACTTTATATTCGAGGAAAATCCATGGTATTAATGAAGATTGAACTTTTAAATAAACGCCGTATTGGTCAAAAAGCCGTCAATTAGTCCACAATCGCCTTCGTGATCATTCGCAACCGTCTCTATGATCCCTATTGTCCTTACCGGGGAGCAGCGCACAGTCAATAAAAGCGTTAAGATTGTGATTATAACTAAGCCTCAGCTTAACTGGGTTCAATGCCGATTTGGGCTCTCGAGATCAATCCCGTTAACGTGTGATTGCTGATGGCAAAAGATCAATAGAACTAGCTGAGAGACAGGCAAAACGAAGGACCCGGATGGTGTGGTGGTGAAGTGCGCTACTCACCGGTAAGTACAATAGCGCGTTCGTTCCCCACCGCACACACCTGCGGTCCGGAGTTTTGCAAATATCTCAGCATTATATACGAGTTATATTTCGCAACATATCCTGCCATTAAGAAGAAAAAGGCAGTAAATAAAAGGGTTAAGAACGTCTCTATGATCGTTTGTGCAGCTCAGAAAACTGTATGATCTGTCCTAACGGGGAAGACGGGGATTTCATGAGTTCAGGTGCAATATACTTGATCTTGTGTAAGGCATGCGGTGAGGAATATATTGAGGAAACAGGTAGGCAACTTTGTGTCCTCATAAAAGAGCATCCATATGGGAAAGTAGAATTCGTCAAAGCACTCCTCTAGGTACACAAAGGGCACAAAAGCACAACGGCGATGATTTTGAAGCGACTGTCCGGATCCTAGCACAGGAATCGAAAACATCAACGCACGAAACTCTTGAGGCGTTTTGGATAATTTTCAAAAATCCAAATATGAACCAGAAAGACGAATGCCTCACTATGACACGTGTTCTGGTGCCTTCTTTGAAAATGATTTTTTGACCTGGATTTGGGTCTCGCTCGCCATCCCACGTGAAAAACTCGTGGGTAAACCCTCTCGTAAGGACAGCTGAGTAGTCTTTTTGAATAATAAGGCGTTTATTTAAAAGTTTGATCTTCATTAATACTACAGATGCTCCACCGAATATAAGGCTACTGTTACATAAAGTATCATCCTAGCTTGGAGGAAGGCGAAATCGCCGAAACGTCAGCCATCGACAAACAACACCAACAACAACAACAACAACAACAGCAACCACAACATACAAGTTCGTATCAACTCAAGAAGATTAATTTTTTAGAACATATAAATAAACTTTAACGATTGCTTGTGCTCCGCTAGAAGAACAGAGAGGGCGATACTGCACAATGCGTACAGGGCTTTTGTTAGAACACACATTGGGATGGAGGCCATTAAAACTTCCATATCGCCAGGCTTGAAAGATCGGCACCATTTTCGGCCAAGGTTGGCTTTCTCCAATCCACAAAAGATGGTGAAACTCGGCTCGACCAGAAGTAGACAACATTCATAAAGTGGGAAAAATTCCTAAGCAGCAGAAAGCAAGCTTTGAAGACCTTTTTAAGTGGTAGATGTGGAAAAAAGAGTAAAATAAGTGAATGCTGGAAACCACATCGGGTTATGTAAAATGAGAAGATGAAATAGAGGACAAAGAATAAAGCTATCGGCGTTGATTAATCCTTGAGGGATGCACCATACATTCGACTTCACCAAGGTGATTGATGCTTGGATGTGATTGAATGCACATCTGGCCTTTACAATGACTCACGGTGGCCTGCCGATGTATTGAATCAGTACTGCTATCCTCCCAGACATGTCAGGTACAATTTCCCGACCCCGGAGGGATGGAAGGCTTGGCGGGCCATGGGAGTGCGGATCGATTCCGCGTTTGCGTTGCAGGGAGCCTCCGATCATTACGGCCAAATGAAAAGATGACTGTTTCTAATTTCTCAACAGTTCTGAGGTAGTTACCGATGATTTTGACTCTGGTTTCATCAAAAAAGTGCCATATTCTAATGCAAACACTCCTATGGAAAACTCATGGCATCAGTTCACTTCAGTTTGCTCTGGATACATTCCCAGATGGTGAGTAAGGAACAATTTTATTTATCACTGACCAACATTTGAGTTTGGTAGATGAGACCTGTTCTGTATAGCGTTAGAAACTCTGTTTTAGATCTTCTATCACACTGCTTTAGCACCTCAAATGCAACCAGAGTTCTACGCGGCTTTTTTTCAAATGCACCGGGAACTGTATTTGTTTCCGCTTCCCAGAGTTCCCCGTTGGGGACAGAGCCGTTGCTGCGACACGTCTAATCTTTCTCATCTTCTATTTTCATTTATTTACGTGACGTGGCATCAAGCATTGCTTTGATTTTAGTATTTTTTTGATTTGATCCGTTGTTTCGCATCTATCGGTCATGAAGGTCTTTTGATTAGCGCGTAGGTTCGACTGCCAAGTGAGTGTATTGTGCTTTTCGATCCGTTGTATTCTGGTCCAGTGAGTTTATTCTTTCTGGAAACTTGAGCTAGCTGTATTGGAGGATTTCTAGGTCTTCATCATGGAAGCAGTAACCAACCTCTGTGACTCAAAGGAAGCCTTTACCGTAGTGATTTAATAGCAGTTTGCTGACTCGAATAAATGAGGGCCTTGTTTGGTGTAATGAGGCAGACCATAAACGACCATGAATGTATTATAGCATGACATCGCCACCTGATTCATTTCCTGTGCTCCATACCTCTAGTTTTTAAAGTTTCATAGAAAAACCGACACTGTTTGAAGTCCAGAGTGCCTTGAAAGCTGTTTAAAATGTATGAAAAGGTTATTACGAGTGATACAACCACAATGATGCTGAGACATTTGCAAAACGCCGAACCGCAGGTGTCCGCAGTGAGAAACGAACGCGCTGTTACCCTTTCCGGGGGCTAACGCGTTCACCATCACACGATGCAGATCCTTTGTTTGCCTATCTCTCGGTTCTATCGATCAGTACCATAAGCAATCACCCGTCCACAGCGTTGATCTAGAGAGCCCAAATCCGAAGTTTTGCAAATATCTCAGCACCATTGTGGTTGTATCAAACGTAATACCATGCCATGAAAAATTGTAATAGGTAGTAAGTAAAAAAGTTAGCATTGCATGGAAAAGCTTTATAATTTGCAGTGAAACAAAAATAAATTGAAGTTCAAGTAATCGGTGAAATAGATTTATGAAGGAATGGCAAAAAATTGGCGGAGGTCACATTTACCTATGTTTTTTATGGTCATACAGAAAATGGCTGTATGTCAGGCTGTTCAACTCTACTGTTTTTGTGAAATGAATCTAACATAGTTTTTAAAGAAGCCCTGCGATAGAACCTCTCAGCGGTTTACCACTCAGTTGGAAATTGGTGAGCCGCGTTTATCATCGTGGCTGAGAGGTGTTTCTGGATGTCGGGCTCCGATGTGCGGTGGGAGATTCTTCCCCCCAACAGCATCCTCCAAGCTGAGGAGCTCAGCGTTTCCATCAAAGCCCAATTAAGAAAACTACTAAAAAATACTGAGAAAAGAGTAAACCAATACTGAGATCCATCAACGACCCCTTATCAAACCAGCCGCATAGTGGCAAATCTCGCTCTGATACACAAGGGCGGCGACTGCCTGTGGTGGTGGCGACCTGGAACAGACTTTTGGCTGGGCTGACCTCGGGCCACCAGAGAACCGCAATGGATAGGCTAGCAAAACTCCGAAAAAAAAACAGAAATTATGCTGGAGCCCGCACAACCACTGAAGATGGCCATCTAAATCTCCAAGTAAGGATAATGTAAGTAAAGTAAGTACAAAAGAAACGTCATCTTTGGTTCGATCACATACTTGACCAGTTCTTTTCCATAGTTCTCTGCTCTTATGGTTTTAGTGTCTATTATGGTTAACGAAATTGACGAACGATGAAAATCCTCGATGGATGGACATGCATCTAGTAGCCAAATTCTACCATGATGGAAAACTTGGTGTTTTACAGTCAGAGCCTTATTAGGCTGATCGTTACAAAAAACTATTAAATTCATGGAACTTTGTGCCTTTAATCAATATTTTTTCAATAATTTGTTAAGACGAAAAGTATCTACAAAAAGGACACTATAGTTTTTTTCCTCAGATTTTCTCTTCAAGGAAGAGGTATTATAAGGCAACAATCGTTGGCGACTATCGTAGAGATGCTTCGTGATGACAGGCTTTTAGGTAAAAGGAGTACCTCCGATCTTTCTACGCTTCAAGATAACCCTGAAAAAGTTAACAAACCCTTTCATTGTCTTCAATTTCGGCAGCATCACCGATAGCATATCGATAAGTTTTTGGTTGTTTTTCACTTCACACTCAACGAGCGCTCTCTTGGTCTTAATTAACAGTCTTAAGACAAAAGGTGAAAAAAGGAATTAAATGAATGCGAGTGATGACAGACCTTGTCTTTTTCTTTAAAATAAACTTTCAGATAGATTGGTAGGACTCGCTCAATATCGCGCAGCGGAATTGGCTGCGATGACTTACTGGAAGACTCTGAGCAATCATCTGAACAGGAGTTCCTTAACCAGTTATGAGAAAATTCACATCCATATTCATTCCCAAAAAAAATTCAAAACAATTTCTAGCATTTTGAAACGTACCGGACTACAAAACCAAACGGAGATTCTCGAGGATACTTTTCTAAGTGATGCGAAAAGCGCAAATGTTAGGGATGTCGTGCAACGCCCACGCGGTCCAGATTTCAAATCCGAACCGGGTAGACCTGCCACCCATCCCTCCGTGTTCGGAGAATTGCAACTAGACCTTTCATAAAACTATTCGTTGTGATCTAAAGAGACTTAAGAGCGATACGGGAAATCAGCAAACATCAGCTCTACCATCATTTAAAGACACTGAAGACAAAGTCCTCAAGTGGTAACCGATATCACGCGCAAATCCAAAGACGTTGGTGGGTGACGAAAGCGATACAACGACTTGGATGGAAGAAATGGTAAAAGTAGCAAAATACGTGAGATCAGGTCATATAAATAAAAAAAATAAACAACTCAGAACTTTTGAGGGGTTTCGGATAATTTCCATAAATCCAAAGTTGAACCGGAAAGACGACTGTCTAACTATGACGCATGATCTGGCGCCTTATTTCAAAATGATATTTTGACCTCTGGGTGGGCCTCGCTGGCCACCCCACGTGAACAATTCGTGGGCAGACCCTATCGTAACAACACGGTGAGTAGTCATTTTGACCAATATGGCGTCTATTTAAAGCTGATCTCCATTAATACTATAGATATTCAACCGAGTATAAGGCTATTGTTTCACAAAGTACGACGAGGCTCTGAGGAAGGCGAAATCGCCAAAACGTCAACGATCGATCACCAACAGCAACAACGACAACTCAGACGAACTTCGTATTAGCCTAACAAGGATAGTTTAAAGGAAAAGATAAAAACAGTTTTTTCTTTGGTGAGACAAGTACTCGGCGCTGCGTGTTAACACAATTACCTAACTCTCTTTTTTTTCACCATGAAGCTTCATCTAAATACTACTCGTACGAAACACTACGAATCTAAATTCTATGCATAAAAGTTTACAATCGTTCCTATAAAAATCAGCGAATTTAATGAGGGCTTCAAAACCTCTGCAAAAGTTTATGAGTTTTCGTATTTTTGCTTAAAACTTCAGTTTTTTTTTTGGTGGGGGGTGGGGGGTAGAATCTTCCCTTTCGTCCTAACTGCAACCCTCATTAATTACATGTCCGACGACTTCCTCAGGAACGGAAGATGGTTTAGCCTATCTGCTTGAAGAATCGTGGATACAAGATTGACTTTGAATAGCGGGCTAATCTACGTCAGGATTTTGTTACTTCGCCTTTTTGTATTATGACAACCTTTGAGCGATCAACAATCTTTTAGATGTGAGGATTTTTTGTAAAGACCGCAGTCCGGGACTCCATAAAACACTTCACCTGAATTACACCTACATCCTGGAAACTAGTGAGAATTTTTAGGCTTTTTTTAAATAAAACTCTATAAACTATCATATTTTACTAAGGAATTCTTCAAACTGTTCGGTTATCACTTTAAAAATAATTATGAGACGGTCGAAATATGAACATTGTACCACAGCAGGAATCAGTAGTTAGCAAACCAAGGAAATTTTTTACGGCACTATCAGACTTCGCGGTTACGTCTGAATCCCAGCACTTCTTGCATACGATTCGTTTTCTCACATTCACTGTCCACGAATGTCCTAGAAACTTTTCGCACGTGGGTTCGGCTATTGCTTGAGGATTGCCGTCTTCTTTATGGATGTCGCTCAATGTTAATCGAGTCTATACTCGTCGAGTATCTTAGATAGTGGGCCTAGAGAGTTTTCATCTGAAATGCTCTGAGTGGCCCATCCTCAGAGGGATGAGAGGTCTGGTAAAACTGGTGCGGGTTCGAATCAAGTCACGCTGCAGACGAAATGCATTACTTCAAGCGCTGCCCGCTTCTTACACAGCAAACTTATTAGTGGTGTTTGCCAAGAATTTTCCGAGAAGCGTATTTTATCTTCGAAAAGCTCTATCATTCGTGACATTGACACTGACTGCGTGGAAAAAGCAGCTGAATGACAAGCCACGATAATTTTTTGTTCTGTGCTTTTTTAACGACTTTAAATTGTCGTTTACATACTTTTATTCCGCATTTTTGTTGGTACCGGCGTCTGCGCAATCACTCCAGATTTCATGTGACGTACAACTTGTTCAATCTCATTTGGTAATTTGGCATCATGATCGCTGCAAAAATGTGCAGTGTTCAGTACTAACTTCTAAAGAAACTGACTCTTCTTAAACTTACTCGGTTTCTGTGACCGCATAGGAATACGAGAATGAAAGCAGTCGGACGTTCGACATTGCCAATTGTTTGCTAGTGGTGTGATTGATAGAGTGTAGTCGAAGGAATTAGGTGGTGCTTACTTTCATCACCCTTTTATAATGGAGCTAATCTCGTGTTATGAATCTTGATCATGAACATGTTCGTTGCAGAGCGGTTGGAGGTAAATAAAATACTTCACACAATTATCAGTCTTAACTTCTTGAGAGAGGGCCGCATGTGGCGCAGTGGTTGAAGGCGCCACTGCAACACACACGTGGAATCGATCCTCGCGCCAATGACTCACCAAGCCTTCCATCTCTCCAGGGTCACAAATTGATACCAGACCTGTGTGGGAGGATAGCAGCACTGGCTCGATACATCGGTAAGCCACTGCGAGTTATAGTAAAGGCCAGATATGCATTCAATCACGTCCAACGATACTTAATGTGGAATGCATGGCGCATCTCTCAGGGATTGATCAACGCCGAGAGCTCTATCTTTTATAGATTAACCTCTTGAGGGCAATTCTAGCCTAGTGAAGCTGGGCAGATACATACATGGTCCTTCGTTCCATCCCGTGTTTCTAGCCAGTCCTACCTTTCATTCCTCTACTTTCGGTAAGTTAATACGAAACTAGTCACGATGATTTAAAGCACTTCAATACATTGGTAGGCTCCGCAAGTCGTTGTATCGGTCAAACATACACCCACTCACTCCTGCGACGACTAGTGAACTCAATCTCTCAACGATTGATTAAGACCAAAGGCTTTACTCTTTGAGTTCATTTAACAGAAGTTAGATAGCAATTTCCCAAGTGCTGAAAAGGTTTAATTGGTCCAGTGAGGGGTCCAATCGTCGCACTGCGTATATTGCACGACACCATTATCACTCCTCTGACTAAAATTCCGACCGAATCAAGGATCACAGTAACTACAACATACACCAGATGTCAGGAAGAGCGAATATAACAACGGCTAGTACAAAGTTGGTTTAATCCTAGTATCAAAAGTAATACATCCGTAGGATCGACATCGTGGTGAAGACCTGGATACGCCCATGCGAGGTTATATAAGAACCCCAGAGAGGATCAATCTGCTCAACCAGCAATAGACAATCCTCAGTACCGCGCACAGTGTACCGCAACTCTCTTCTATGATATCAGGCAGTGAAATGACCGGTGAGAGCCCGCAATATATCTGGTTACGCAGAAGGGCATTAGAGGCGGGTTTGACGAACACAGTCACCACGAAAACTGTTTCTTACTCCGCGCGTATTTCAGAACGATCTCCACAGACGCGAATCTTCACACTCTTTTTGGAGCCGCAAATCGCATAAAATTTAATGTGATCGCCCTATAACAAACAAAAATCAGGAAGGGCGACATACTCCAACTAAACAACGGGACCTTTGCGATCCGTGCAGAAAAGGTACTCTCACGAAATGTCTGCGGTGTAGGCTTTGTTGTCTACCCGAAAAGTTATCCGCAATGATAAAGCAAATCATAACTTTGTAGTGGGAGACCAGAACGTAGTCCCGTCATTCCGTAGTGGTTCCGACCCACCGCCTTTTTCGCGCTCAGATTCGATTCAGCCGTAAGCTGGCAGAAAATTCGTATCATCGACCACAAGGAAAAAATCTAGCTGTATACGAAGAAAAGATCCTAAACTAAGCCTATCCAAACGTGACAGGCAGATTCAAGAAGACCCGACCGAAGTCTACGAGCTGCTTGCCGATGGACTAAAAAGCTGTGCCGAATTCGCCTTAGCTCATCAAGCAAGAAGATCTAGTCGCATCTCCACTACTACCAAGGAGTTACTCAAAAACAAAAAGAAACTGGGCCTTAATTCTACTGCGACACGTTTAGCATGGTTAGGAATAAATGCCAGCAGCAGAAGAGCTTTGCAGGAAGATCGACATCGGTACAAGCAGAAGAAACTACTGGAAGCAGCAGAGAAAAGAAGCAGTCTGAAAAAATGCCGTCGGGGCTAGCGTGATTATAATGTTCCGTTGTCGGCCCTGATGAACGAAGATGAAATTACCAAAATTTTTCGCCTTGAAATGGAATTAGTAAAGGAAGCGTTCTACACCAACCTTTTTCGTCCCACAATCCCTATTTCAGACCCTAAAATCCCAGCTGGAGAAAAACCGTCTGAAATTCTTCCGTCAAAGGTTCAAGCTGCGATAGGAAGTATGAAAAGAGGGACGGCTCACCCTGTAACATCACCGCCGATTTCCTTAGAGCTGGAAGCCGTAGTTTACATACACTTCTCGCAAACCATTTGACAGCTTACCTCCAAAAAAAAATATCAGACTAGTGGAGGACTTCGCGCAAGGTCATCCTGCCTAGAAAAGATGACCAAAGGGATCTTCGCACCGTCGGATATGCTAGTTGAGTGTCCTCTACAAGATCTTTGTGAAGATTGTCCTGTCGCGTATATCAAGTACATGGATAAGGCACAATCAGTGGAGCAAACAGGATTTCGACAAGGATTTTGCAGTATCATCCAAACCGTGTCCTGGGTCATCGAAGTTTGTCGGGAATACCATTTACCTTTAGCCCTAACCTTTATCGACTATGACAAAACGTTTGAGAGTGTCGAAACGAATGCAATCCTATCAGCGCTCGTCGACCAAGGAGTGGACTCGTCCTACGTAAGAACTCCGTCTGACTGTTATCGGAACTGCACGGAACTGCACTACTGAAACACAGCTTTTCTATCGACCTCTTGCCATACGCATAGGAAAAGGGATTAGACAGGTCGACACAATATCGACAAAGATGTTTAGTGCCGCACTGCAGTGGATAATGAGGTCACTCGATTGGGATGAGAAAGGCATGCATATTGATGAAGTATTCCTATCAAACCTTCGTTTTGCCGATTGCACTGTCGTCTTCTTAAGAAGTACTAGCGAAGCAGAAGTGATGGTCAACGAGCTCAACGAAGTGGGGAAAAAGATAGGGCTTCGCATAACTCGAAAGAAGACCCAGTTTATGAAAAACCCACGGTGCGAAGGCGAAAAAATTGAATTGGATGGCTCTCTCATTGCAGAGACCACCTCGTACGTTTTCCTTGGGCGATCAATGAACATCTAAAACAGCATGAACAGGAAATTATACAGAAGAAGTAGAGCAGCTGGGGCCACATTTGAGCCTCTCAAAGAAGACCGATCAACTGAACGACCCGGAAATCCATGCTCATCTCTTCGATTCAACGGTCCTCCTAGTGCTGTGTTATGCTGCAGAAACGTGGGCTGATACTTCAACCACTTCAAGATTACTCTGCAGCAATCACAGAGCGCTTGAACGATGTCTTCTGAAATATAACCGGCACTCTCAATATCTACCAGAAGTGGGAAACACTTAACACAGAAATCCCTCACGTCTTCAGGATCCAGAGGAATACACATCGATAGCTCGATAGCGAAACACAGATGGGTCGATCATATAATGCGAAAAACAGACGACAGATGCACGAAAAGAACTGAAGGGTAGAGTCAACGAGAATAGAGGCGCCTCCTAGGACGACCGCCTACACTTTAGGAGGACGTCTTCGTAACTACTTTTAATCCGCTGTTCTCGCAGTTGCATTTGTTTGACAGATAACTATAGGGACTCGCAAGCGCCACCGTGCTCGAATTAAGCCATCGCCATGGACGGCGATTGCGAAACAAATAAGCAAATGGCAAATGTACTAGGGTGCAAACAACTTGTGAAGACGGACCGTCCAAGTATCCAAGTGGTGCACCTTGTGAATCAAGAGCAAATCAGAAAGAACATAGCCTCAATAGCCTGACTTCTTTACTAACATCCCAGAAGGACAATATGTTCGTCGTGTTTTTTAAACGAGCGCACCACATCAAGCGCCTATGACACGAGACAGGGTGTCGTAGAGAATTTTTGATGTTATCACCCTTCAGCTGGATTGAGGATGAGAACAAGGATTTCTGATGCTTCAGTCATTAGACTGTCAGCGAGCATAAAAAGAATGGAGCAATTACAGAACTGGGTGGTCCTACGGCTGTGTAGCCGGGATATACGGCAGCAAACAAGTAACCATTGAGCACAAGTCTAGTTCTACGTTATGAATTCACTCTAGTGGAAATTTCTTTAAAAATAAGGGGAGGTTATAATTTTCTAATCATATTAGACTACTAATTACAACAAATATTCCATTCTAGTGCGTTCATCATTGATTTTTTCTATGGCGTTGTACTGATCGCTTTGCAGTCGTGGACGACGACGATGTTGACACAGTAAAAATTATTCCATCGCTAGCTGTAAAGCATCGTCCCGCACGCAACCGACCTTCTTTGTGTAGTCAACGATGCGTCGTCTGCGAAGCTATCAAGGGCGTTTTAGACGCGATTCAATACGAAAGGTCATGAGTCAGGGTTAAGCTAGTCATGCATGTGGTTCGTCCTACGGCCCATGATGGCTATTGATTGTGGGTCTTTCTGATAACACATTCTGATGATAAGGCTCATGTGAGAAAGGTGCTAATGTGGCATCTAAGCGCTGATCGACCGACTTTTGCAAATCCCTCTAGTTCTACGCAGTTCTTTATGTAAATTCGACATTAAAGCTCACTTAATACCGAAATTTTTAGCAAAAAATGGCATTGAGAACACAAGGAACTTCTCGTTTTTGCGTATCAGATTGCATTATTGATAGCACTTCTAACAAATCTCTGAATATTTGAACTTTGAATCATTGGATACTTCCTTTTATTGATTTTTCTTCAGGCATGTGAGCCTTCAGCACATCGCATATGTTTTAACGTAGGCTACAGTTCTTATGAGACGTAAGACTGTGAAGCAGATTATTCATAAGTAACGTTTTCGCAAGAAACAATCATAGGGAAGCAGTACTATTTCAGGCGCTAAAATTGAAAAAATTTTGGTTTTTTTATGGAACACTAAGTTGGAATTCTCGATAGCGAGCCAGAATTCATCATGCTAGGTGGGCACAGTTTGTTTGAACTGGATATGACTAGAGAAGGGCTTGTGTTAAGTCTTAACACCGTCCCATATAAGGCTG